GTGAGTTAAATACACACCTTACTGTATACCTGCAGAATCGAATATACTAACTCGAAATAGTATTTACCTAAATCATACACGAGGTAGTGTTCTGTTCGCCAACATGTAGTTACAGATAAAACCTCTTTTTTTTGCCCGTGTGCACAGGCTGGGACTCAGCATTGCGCGCTCGCAGGTTTTCATGTGTAGGATCGAGAAAGACACGTACGCGAACTACGCGCTTTCTACTTCGAAGCTGCACCTGCACGATTTAAGGATACAAGTACATGTTTTTTCTTGAAGTCAGTAGTTCATGCGTGCACGTTGCAATATGTTTTGTACGTACTCTTTGAATACTTTGTGGCTGCACAAAATTCTTGTTGGAAAAACAAACATGTCGGGTTTTATACTTATCTCTGGTGTTTGACTTTACCTATTAAACTTAAATGCACAGTAAATTAAAACAATAAACACAATTTAATCTAGTGCTGCCGGTGAACCACCGAACCGAGGCAAAAATCATCAAACAAGGCACTTTTGAACCGAACCAAACTGTTTGGTTTGGATGTACGGCTTTAATAAGGCATTTTATTGATGGCACGCGGGAAAACATACAAAAATACAAGAAAACTTAATAAAAAACAAACACAACGAAAAATGGATAACAAATTGTACGGCGTGCTCCACACGTGCGTGAACATACTGAAACTTACAATGGCCCGCATCATGAGATGGTTGTAAAAAGCATGTGGTGAGAATCACTCAGAAATCAACCAAGAACACGCAACGTACGGCATTGTCGCTGCATAACATTTCTAAATTCTTACTACATCCAATCGTGATCATGTATAATCAGATTTATTATTTTATTTGCCAATCTACGATAGACACGCCCTTACGTTTCATATTAAGGTAGTGACGTTCCATATTAGGCCAATGGTCTCATAAATGGAGTGCAAAACGAATTTGGTTGGATGTCGATCACAGTCGGACTCGCGCTCGATCCAAGGCATCCCCGGATGAAAATTTTGCCAAGCGGTTCGGTGCATGCTGTGCTTCAGCGCAGCGCAAGGAGATTTTTTTTTGGCGCGGTGGCCTAACTTGCCTTTCAGTTGACCATGAAGGATTTGATCATAGTGCGAATGCGTTGTAATGGAATTTGCCAGATCTCAAATAACAAAATGCTGTTATTCAAGAGATTATTTATGTTATTTAAAAGAGGCTGATGAAAAATCTCCCCTTTGGTCACGTGCACGCCGTCCTTGGAAAGGTTCCCCCTCAGATATGCAACGAAAGCCATTTTCGTAGTTTTCAAAAGCCATCTATTTCC